GACAAATCAACGACGATAATCGTAGAGCAAACATACTTGAGAGGAGGGCTCGACAGCACACGTCTCGACAGCCTGGCAGCGGCAATCTGGACATCCATATCCCAGTCGACGGAGAAATAGTTCACCCGCACTTGTGGCTTGGTGAATGGATTCGTGGACTGTTATTAATTGGCGGAAGATAGATGTGAGTACGGCACTTGGACTGATAAGTGACCCAAGAACTCACCGTTATCTTCACTGTTCCCCGACTGAAAGGTAGAAGCTGCCACATGTCGATACCAAGATCACTATGATGAACAAGGGTTCATTGTCAGCCGTTATCGTAGCAGACGTTCTTGGAGAGGAGGACTCACTCAGGGTATCCGGTATCATAGAACAGTTCCGCGACAGGAGCTAATTTCAACGGTACATCTGTCAGCACCCAGGTTAAACCCCTTCATGGCTTCGCGAACTTACCATTCTTGTTGATAATCAAATCAGCCTGAACCTGATAAATCTGTTGCAACGCTGCACTATTCAACGCCGAGCCAGCCTGACTGTTAGCCCAATTGCCCAAGTTGTTGTTGATCTTGCTAATCGAGCTATTCGCGTTGTTGCCGAACACCTGACGGATATTGGGGAACGCAATCGAGTCGGACGGGCCTCTTCCAGCGCGGTCAAAGTCAGTACCGCCCGCGCCGAGCGAGGTCATGGTCTGTTCCTGCAAGTTTTTGCCCACTGTCTTGAGGTCGATGCGGGTTGTGATCCCGAGGGGGTTGAGAATGGCAGAATCACCGATACCGGAGAGTTGGAGGAGAGCTGGGGTCTGAACAATCCGATGAGATATGTTAACGGGCGGAGATCGTATAGCAGTTTGACATACAGCGATGGCACCGGCTGCAACAATGACTTCTCTCCTAGCAAGTGCGGTATATCTCGTGTTGCCGCCAGAAGCCGGGGCAAACTCGATTCCGGATGCTTTCAGAGGTAAGCTTCCGGCATTTGCCCAGTTGATTTTGGTAACCTATCAGGCCGTTCAGTGCCAACGTAAAGAGAGAAAGAACGAGTCTTGAACTACCTGATGCCTAGTCAGAGTGAGCCATGTCGGTCTGGCGTTCTCTACTGGTGTGAAATAGGCTTCCACAGAAGAAGATCGATGATCTCCTGCATGCCAATTCATAGTCTGGGGTTGACGTTGAATCAGACCTTATTGCTGTCTGGAACTCGAGAGAGAGAAAAGGAATCTCACGAAAGGCGTTATTGAGACACAGTTTGGACTTCCACCGTTCAGGTCTGGGCACCTTGTGATTCCAGTCAAATTCCGGATGGTGTCGATGAAGTACTGTTGTTGAGGTCCTCCATACATGTCATCAGGATATGTGACTTGGACCGGACCATTGAAGCCATGGTAGGCGTCCATGGATTGGGCACCCTTGGCAGATTGTTGACCGTTAGGACCTGAGAAACCCTCAGACTGTAGGAGGTACGACGAATCGAAGATAAGTGGGTGACGCAAGTTGCAGTTTTGAGGCTGCTATCATACCTTTTTCATGTAGTTGAACATGCCTTGCCAGTTCCAGCCAACGTTTGCTTCGGAAGTCTCGAGCAGAGTCGACCATGAGTCGTATTGGGCGGCAAGACCTAACGGGATGGTCAGTCAAAAATAACCACAGTGGGCGCAAAGGCCGCTAACCTCGGGTATAGTGGGCGCCATTTATTGATGAGCTTCCTCCTAGGGTCTTCCCACTTTGGTATAGCAAATGTTAGCCCTGCGCGATAATTGTAGAGGGTTCCGTTGTCACCTACCCAACCATTGTGCCATGCTCCGTCCCCCATTGCCAATCCATGTCTGTACCGAATACCTGGCCATACGAATAGATATCGTATACTCGAGGATCTGTTCTGTCGTCCCTCCCTGCCTCAATGAGCAGGACTGTGTGCGTTCCTGACTCGGCCAAACGCGCTGCAACGGTCGTGCCAGTCAATCCGCCGCCGACAACGATGAAATCGAAGGTCTGGCCATTGGCAAGAGACGGGTTCGCCGTCACTCCAGACGCGCGTTTTTGAAGTATCGCGCTCCCTGCGAGGGGAAGAGATAGAAGGAGGGCGAAAGGGAATGGGTTGGAAAGAAACATGATGTCCCCCGACCCTGGTCGATGGGGGTTTTATCTCGCAATTTTCCCGATGAGGGTCGGTGAAGGGACGGCGAGAGAATATAGGGATGGGACCGTGTGTTCGACTTGTCATATTCAATACGCGTGGGTCACCGATTCAGCCCGCTTAATTTGTCAAGGCACGAGCGGGTTCGTTGAGCGAGCGGATCCAGCGGGAAATGGATGCCAAAATCATCTAGATTCCAAAGGTCCAGATTTGCTGTCGTTATTCAGCACACGTTGGAAAGATCACGTTGAGAAGATAATCGCCATTGGAGCTGGTTGGGAGGGGGATAATGGGATCGCCCAGGATTCGTACAAGTTTTCATTACTTTTACGTGGTCCTTGTCATCGACCCCAGCATTTTGAATGATGCGCCACGGCTACCAATTGATTCGCGGCGGTAGATGTCCTGTGTAAGGAGCTTGGAAATTACCGCAGGAATGAGATCAATGTAAAAAGGATTTGGCGCACCAGTCTTTTTGTGGAACGGCAGAAATGTAGAGCTTGAGCGGCGATTAGCAAAATTAGTCCAGTACCTGACACAAGCAAACGTGCAAAACCGCGAAGTGAGCACTTGATCATCTTTCTCCGTCATCCATCCCTACATCAAGGGAGAAATAAGACGAGAACTTGAGAGACCTGGAGTGTTCCAAAGTGCACAATGGAAGAACCACAAATCGGATCGTGGGAATTTAGAAGACTTGGGAGTCGGGAGTAGAGTAATGGGTGCGCGCTTACGCTTTGACTTGTACTGTCACCGTTACTACACCTCACCAGCCCCTGTGGAAATACCTGTGAATGACATTCGACACAGTCCATGACTCCGTTACCATCACCTACAAGGGCTCCAAAGCTTCACAACTATCTCCAAATGCTACCGAGACTGCGGTCAAGTTCGTCAGACAAGATGTTGCCGCCCTCAAAGTCGCCCAGCCTCCGAAAGTACATATCTCCGTGGTGGGACAAGGGGTAGTTCGATTCTACTGGGAGACAAAAAGGGAAAATGTGAGCCCACTCCTCTCGATCGCGCTAATTATCACTGAGTATGAATTAAACGGTTGCCGTTGGTAGACACTCCATCAGCAGTTGATAGGAAAACTCCACAGCCCACCAGAAAACTCTACGCCGGACCGACATTTTCATAAGCTCTTAATGTGCAGCACACCTGTTTTCTGTGGAGACACGTTGGGCTTACTCTTGAACAGACAGAAGCTTGACTTCCAATCCAATTCTCCGTGCGCAACGATTTCTCTTTTGGTTCGTAATTCCACTCACACGCGCAACTCTGCAGGACTCCCGCTGGCCCCGTTTGTTTACACTCACGCAGCTGGCTCGCTCCTTCGAATGCCAAAAGACCAAAAGCTCCTCTCCCAGGGACTTCCGCCGAAAGGACAACAAGTTGGCTGAACAATCAACATGCCCAGGCTGGCACACCCGGGTCGAGTGACATCGACCCGAATATGATTGCAACCTCCATGAGGGACTCGGGAGATAGGCTGAGGACGGGCGAGTCGACATTACCCACTCCACCTGCGAGTGCTTCCGTGGTAGTCGCCTCCTCAAGTCATCAGGTGCGTCGTTGAGACTGTCTGACTTTTCGGTAACTCACGCGAAAACCGGTTCTCCCCAGGCAGCCAATGTACCTACGCTTCTGTTACCGATTCCTGTCCGAATCTCATGACCTCCATTCCAGTCGCGAGCAACCTTCGGGGGCCTTCCGCATACTCCAACGAAGGTCCCATCGTCCCTCCCGCTTCGCCCGAACCTTGCACAGGGGAATCAACCTGTTGTAGTCAGTACCTCGTTCCCTTCACTCCCCGCCTCTAGGTCTTCGCTACACCCTTGGTTCAAAGACTGACATCTCATTCAGCAGGCTCAAGGACGTGTTCTTCGATCTCACACCGCGCACCTTACTTCATCACCGCCATCACAACCACCAGCACAACCCCCACAACCACCACCAGCACAGCCCCTACAACCACCACCAGTACAACCACCACCACCACCACCAGCACAACCGCAAACGGAATTACCGTCGAATGCTCAGAAGGCCGAACAATTGATGGCACAACTCGCGCAATTCCAGAGCAGAATCAAGGAAGCTTTTGAACGAGAGAAAAGCATGATACAATCATTGAAGGAGCTCGCAACTGTAGCCCCCGTTCCCTCACAAGCACTTGAGCCTGTCGTCCGCACGATGTCTGCTGCTGATGAGTTGGGTAAGGATTCACGGTCTTGTTCTCAATAATAGCCTTCAACTGACAGCGTCTCGAACCAGTTTTGAGAGGGCGACTGAAGATGACTGAACTGCAGCTGAAGGAAGAACGCGACAAGAGGCAGGCTGCCGAAGATGTTCTAAAGAATATCAAACAACAGTTTGAGGAAGAGCGTGCTAAGAGAATGGCCGCGGAAGACACGTTAAAGGATATTGAACGAGAATGCAGGGAACCTTTTATTGTTCCGGCGTTGTTAGACGCTTTTATCACGGTATCTAACCTTTCTTCAGAGGCCACTTCCAACCGCATGCCAGGGAGGTAGGGCTTGCAAAGGCATTCGGTCGAACAAGATGTTCATGATCCTGACTAGAGTCAAGATTATAAGTGTATTATTTATAACACAACGTGGATCCGGAATGTATGTCGCCGTAAGTATTACTATTTATTTTGTAGCTGTAGTAGCTTGGAGTACCCGCGAAGGGTGTAGGCTTGTTACTGTACACAACGGAGTCTTGTTCAGCTTTCATATGCGAAACCTAACGTATGGTCGATACATCACAAAGAAAATGGGTATGAGAGGGTTGCCTGCGCACGTATCGTTTAGACTGCCCCCGAAATAGATAGAAAGCAAGGTGGAAACGACCCAAAATGGATCGATCCAGGTTCGAACTGGAGACCTCTCGTGCAAACGAAAGACGCGTGCGCGCATGTGAGACGAACGTGATAACCAACTACACCATCGATCCGATGTCGATCACAGAAATTCGTCGGCCCCTGACGTGGCTAACAAAATAGAAACGAGCAATACGAATCCACATGTCCTCAGTACGCTGTCCGTTTTTTCAGGGTTCAAGAAAGCGATGATCTGAGGGAGGCTGGATAAATGCAGAGGAATAGTCGAGCTGTGGACATGATTAATGGATTCCCGCTCCGCTTCCGTCGGCGCCAACGACGGGGGCTCGATGTCAGTTAAGTCATCGCGATCGCCGTCTATGGAGTCCTCCGAATGAGAACTGGTCGGAGAGGAGGGTCGTGAGGATGAGGAAGAAGATGCCTGAGAGTCCGATGAGGACCAGTCCGCCGCATTGGTCGTGTAAGTGGGCAATTGTGGTCCCGGAGTTCTTGTTGATCTAAGTCCACTGGGTCGTGCCGCCGATGTCTGACCGGACGTGGCGATGCACAAGATTTTCGCATCCAACAGTCCACATGATGGACAGTGCCCTTTGTTTTTCACCCACTATACTCAACTAATCAGCGTCATCAGTACTAGACAAACTTGTAGGAATGACGGACGGAAGTGATGTGGTCGTGACAAAACATTCCACCGCAGCACAACGTCCGGGCAGGAGGTGATGATTCATGATCGCTGTAGTGTGTATATCGGTACGTCAGCCCGTGAAAGTACGATATGAATACAAAACTCACCATAATTGGCAACGACGGTCTTCGAAGCTAGGGCTCTACGATCGTTAGCTTGCACGAACTCTGTACCGGGACCAGGGGTACTTTACCTTCTCAGGCTTCGATCTCCAGCTGTCGCGTACTCTCCGAACCGGCGTATGAAAGACGACGGGTATGACAACGTCCTCCAAAGGTGCCTCCTCCCCCAAATTCAGACGAAAGTCGTCATATCGTTGCTCTGGCGATTCTGAGATACTAGTAAGACGCCTCAAATTTGAAGATCGACGAAAGTGGTTGAGGCGTGGAGAAACAGTCGAGGACATAATGGGAACGAAGTAAAGGAAACCGAGTACTTTGTTAGTATCAATTATAACTAACTGTAAGTTGTTGTGCGGCCGCAAGCCTTGGTGGCGTCCTCATCACTTTCGGGTATATCGTCGTCAGCCCAGACATCTGGATTGCACCTATTTCGAGCATTCGAGAGGTAAGGTCACTGGTATCGTCATTGGAGAGTGCAAAACAAGCTTTGAGGTTCGTATCCCCCAAACCGCAGACTCTGACTTTGGCGGCCGCTGCAACAATGGGCCCCACCAGTGCCCCACCTGTGGTATATTGTGAGTCTGAAAAGTCGACACTGGTATGGCGATCTTCGACATCTGACCAAAAGGACTCGACAAAGTACCGCTTCTATCCCACCTAGATGCTAGTCACTGGTCAACACCGGTCCCGATCGGACATGATCCCACACCGCAGAAAGCTAAAACAATCCAGAGCATTCTTTGTTTTCTCGTACTTCACTAAATTGACAAAAAAGGGGCTGCTCTAGAGGCCCTACAAATCTAAAACACTGTGTTCAGAGCCGGAACGAGAGACCATATACCGAACGTACCATTTACGTATCACTTCATCAATCCATTTCTCCACGACTTTCTCTGCAATCTCCAGCCCATTCTTCTCCATGAACATCATATGTCCATTCCCGCGGATACCGAGCTCAGGAAGTTGGAGATGCTTTACAGGGACCCCGGCTTGTTGCAAAAAGTGCACGGTGCAGTTATCGTATAACGCGTGGTAGCTCGATTCCGAGGTAACAACTGCGATAGGTATTTTGGCGAGATTGATAAGCTGTTTCGCGGGGGCTGCTTGCTCAAGACAGGTGACATTGGTGATGTTGTTGAAAACCACCCGTTGAAGATCTGAGGTCGTGTTCACCGGTGGCTGGAACGTGAGGGGTTGATCGGACACTCCGAACGGTCGAGCGGGACCAATGGGAGGGAAAATAACATTCATGAAAGGAGGCCCCTGCGGTTCGAGAGCGATCACGGTCTTAATGAGAGCAGGGCGAGCATCCGCGATTTCCCATCCGAACGGTCCTGACTGGGAATGGGTCAACAAAATGACAGGCTGTAAGGGCTTTATCAGCAAAGGAACCAATGACACTATGTATAACGCAGGGTCATCCTTACTCCGATGCGATCGAGTAGCTGGACTGTTGCATCTCGAGTTTTCTCAGAGGACTCAGCGTCTGACACCAGACTTGGGACCGTGGAAGCATAGAAGTTGTCAAAAATAGGATCCCCCGCGGTCCCATTGCCTGGCCATTGCGTATGCAGCTGAGCACCAGACCACCAGTTGAACTTCTCAGAGGCCGTGAAGCGTATTTCGACCTCGAGGACATCGAAGTCGGACTGGTCACCGTCTACGCCTATCTGCCAAGCAGACCTTCCTCGAGAGGCTTGGTCAATCAGATAGAGCTATCCATACAAAAAATTATGAGATAGCAGATCAAGAAAAGCAGCGGGAACTTACTTCGTAGCCTTTTCCAAGGAAATAATCCGCCCAGCCGAGCCTCCCATCAGGCGTGTTTAGAAAATTCGTGGCAGTCATTCCGTGACCATGGATGAAGAGAATAGGAAGGGGCTGTGTGATCTGAGCAGGAACCAGATGCTCGACATAGATCTGTCCTGCAGCAATGACACTGTCATTCACGGTCACATATCGTTCACCAATGTAGAAGTAGTTTCGACGGTGAAGAACGCCGGGAATATGTCCCATAACTTTCGTGAATGGGCATAGAAGGAAGATGATAAGTAGGTAGTACATGGTTGTAAGGAAGGTCGAGGGTATGGGAACGGCAGAGGCACCTTTTGTAGTAGAAACTCCTCACATGGACATGTGTTCAGGCCGCGCAAGTGGTGAGTCAGGGCTGAAATAGATTTCGATATCGAGCAAGGACGACTAGAAGGAGTAACCCAACGATGTCACGATCACAAGCATTTATACGTCAACGGTTCTGCGCAGTCAGAACTCAAATAGAGTTCAATGTCGAGGAAGACGAGGCCGGCGGGTAAACTCACCAGCGTTTCTCTCATCCACTTGTTCACCACTTCTTCCACGATCTGATCGCTGTTCCTCTCCATGAACATCATGTGTCCATTTCCATGGATCTCAACTTGACCAAGGTCAACATGCGTAACGGACACGCCAGCTTGCTGTAGGAAATTTACGGTGCAGTTGTCATAAAGAGCATGGTAGCTGGCTTCGGCTGTGACCACCAGGACGGGTACAGTCGCCAGGTTCACCAATTGTTTGGCCGGTGACGCCTGCTCATAGCAAGTGACGTTGGGGATAGAGTTGACCGTTTGGTAGTGGATCTCTTCGGCAGACGCAACAGGTGGGGAGAACTGAAGAGGTAGCTCGGCGATTCCGTATGGTCGCGCGGTAGAGAAAGGCGGGAAAACTGCATTGATAAAAGGAGGGCCGATTGGTTCTAACGCAATGATACCCTTCACCGACTCTGGACGGGCGTCTGCCAACAACCAACCGAGCGAGCCTGACTGCGAATGAGTAAGGAGAATTACGGGCTGGCGTATGAACGTCAAAGCGATGCTCGGAGTACTATGATGGTATGTACCCACCCCAATGCGGTCCAACAAAGACGATCCAGCATCACAAAACTTCTGAGCTGCTTCTGGACTGGAACTCAAGCTCGGCATTGTCGATGCGTAGAAGTTGTCGAATACGGGGTCACCAGCAACACCGTCTCCTGGCCACTGGGTATGAAGCTTGGCTTGAGGCCACAGATGATAGCGTTCGGGTGCCGTGAAATGAGACTCGATATAAGATGTGTTGAATACTTTCTGAGGGCCATCTATTTCTGCCTGCCATGCCGATCTTCCTCGCGAAGGTTGGTCAACAAGATATACCTAGTATTATGCTCAATCACCGGAAGAACAAAACGATCAACTGAGACCTCACCTCATAGCCCCCTCCCAAAAAGTAGTCCGCCCATCCAGCCCGGCCATCAGGAGTGTTCAAGAAATTTGTTCCAGTCATTCCATTGCCGTGAACGAACATAATGGGCAAAGGCTGCTTCACCTCCCCCGGAGTGAGGTGCTCAACATACATTTGCTGGAATGCTACCTGGTCTTCTGAATACTTGCCTCCGACATAGAAAAATTCCCTGCGGTGCAAGGTTCCTGGTACTTGACGACCGTTGGAGAAGCTTGCTAACAAACACAACACTGCGACGACTTGAAGAGCTCTGAGCCCCATACTCAATGCCTGTATGACTGCAGCATATCAGTCGTCGTCAACCCGATATGTGCTTTGGACGTACCCTTGCCTTCTGCGATAGCTTCAACAGGTGACAAGACCTGGGTTCGTTCAATTGACTCCAGCACGCGCCTTGACTGGTGACCGGTGACCAAGCACGTCGCTAATTCCAATATCTAGCGCTCAGTTTGAATTCCTGACGGTCACGCTCAGGTCGGTTTGCTTGTGTCGTCGTCGTTGTGTGTACTGAGTATTGCGGGCATGAATTTCGACACGCCCATGAAGAAGAGGAAGGCCAAGTCCCAAATAGGCAACTGCCCTGAATTTCAATCATGAGATCATCGCCGTTGTAGCCCGTCATTTATGTGGGCGTACGGGACGCGGCGCACGGTTTTCATTGACCAAGAAAGCACAAGGCCGTAGCAGGCCGGAATCCAATCTTGTCCTCTTACCTTCACCATCTCGATCTATTGTCGCCCGGATGGCCTCTACCTCATCATATTTCTACAAGGATCCTCAAACAGTTTTCGATGATATCGACTTTCAAATGACATTAGAGCCCTCGACGCTCACGGAGTTGGTCAAGGCATTCCTCGACGAGTTCAGAACGGGATTGGGAGACTATAACCATCCTATGGCGATGATGTGCGTAGCGATCGAGTCGTGCATCTCATCTCATCTGACCCAGGCTCCAGCCCATCGTTCGTCACTGGTGTTCCCGATGGTACGGAGACTGGGTGAGTCTACAAAAACAAGGAGGGAAGACGAAGTCTCGAACGATTCATTAGGA